ACACACACACACACACACACACACACACACACACACACACACACACAAACTCATACCTATTCAATTATTTATTGTGGTTTTATATTTGCATATTAGTGTATGCATAGTATTAGTGTGCACGTAGTCAATGTGTGTGGGTGTGTGGTATTTTTATGCAGTGTGTGTGTGTGTGTGTGTGTGTGTGTGTGCCCCCATTGGCCAGTGCTGGCACACACTGACAGATGGGGCACAGAGAGGCTTTTTATATTTGCTGAAGAATTTGCATTGTAACCACCACTGCTGCTCGGACGAGCTCTGAGCTGTGGTACCCTCCCTCTCTTTTAGTTTTGACCTAATCCATTCTCTGAACTTCTTTGCTGCACTGTGGTGCATTTATCCTACACTTAAACTTTGAGGCCTGAGGGCTTTATTTAAGGTCACGGATGTATATTTTACCATCAAATTAAGATTGTCTTTCAGTGTACATAGCTCTGAACACACAGAAAGCCGACCTTCTCTTTGTCTCACTTTGTCATTCTTCAGCCTGCTGAAGTCTTTGAGTTTGAGGGCAACGTCTACAGCCACCACCTGTCCCCCATCGCCAGGAAGCACAGTCTCATCGCAGGTGTGTGACAATGCAGCCACAGCTGATGCCAAAGGCGAAGAACTCATGGAATGCATAGGGTACCTGTTGGCATTTTTGTGATTGTGCACTAAGAAGCGTTGAACCGAAGCAAACATCTTCATCATCAGTTTGTCCCTCCAAGCAAAGCACTGCATGCCCCCCCCCCCCCCAGGTCATGAAGTGACACATACCTGTAGGGGACAGAAGTGGGCCAGAAGCTGGTTACACACGGATTCCAATCCAGGAAAAATGATTTCTGGGGTGAAAAAATGTAAGAATCTAGTTGCCAGCTCACCACGTCGCCAAGCAGGACCAACGGGTTCCTCGTGCCTGCTGAGTATGTGCTCATTAATGTGCATACACACACAGTTTCTTTGACACACCTGTTTTTAAACCGGAGACAATCACAGTTTGTATCAGTGAGATTTTATTTTAACCACACCTTACCTGTGAGAGTCTGGGACTCCCGGTTTTACCCTTCTAAAGCACCTCTACCTTATACACACACCTTGTAACAGATTATACTTACACATTTATCACAATCTGTAAACTCTGACAATATTGATAAGTAGGATATCAAAACTATGATTTAATGGAATCTTCCGCTTTAAAGGTGGCCTTTTAATTCATTTTTTGTGTGTGTTTAAAACAAAAACATAATAATGTCAACCTTTCTGAATTCTCCTCCATCAACTGTCTTTGTCTCTGTGTTTTCAGTCGGCACCAAAGAACCCAAAATCCAGCTGTGTGACCTGAAGTCTGGGTCACGGATTCATGTTCTTCAGGGTTAGTGAACTACACCACAAATACACACGCTTACTTTTCCTGCTGTTTTTTATTTTTTTTTTACTCACACAGATCAACAATAACTTTCCCCCTTCAGGTCACAGAGCAGAGGTCCTGTCTGTGCGCTGGTCGCCCAGATACGAGCACATCTTAGCAACTGCCAGGTAGGCTCAGTTGACTGTCACACTTTCTATGAAGCCTGACCTAGTTCGCTCTCATAGCCGGCACATCGAGGAGTACTGTCAGGTGTCGGTTAATCCCCACCATGCTGTGTTTCCCAGCAGTTCTTGTCACCTCAGCGCCGGCCCATCTGGCCCGGTTGCAGCCCTGAGTCAAGTACAATGCCACCACATTGCTGGCGGATAGATGGCAGCACTGTGGTACTCTAGTAGCCCCGTCAGTGTAGCATATGGTGGACACAGACCCCACCTGTTTTATGCTACATTAGACCTGCTAATTAGCCTATTGGGATCAGTGTGCTGCCGTCGTTGTGGACTGCAAGTGATTTTTGAAAACAACTGGCACCGAGAGACACACAGAGAAGTGTAGGATATTCTATTATGGAGCCGCCTGTGCCCAACAGAAACACTGGTGTACATGTTTGAGCATGTATTGCACCTATAAATCCCTGTGTTTAATAAAACGAATTCCCTCATTTTCCTTCTAAGTGCAGACAGCAAAGTCAAAGTATGGGATGTGCGCCGGGCCTCTGGTTGTCTCTTCACACTGGATCAGCACAACGGAGACAAGTCAAAAGGCGCCTCTGAGGCAGGTACTGTTCTACCTCTCCCCTCGCTTTTCCCGTGTCTTTTTCCTCATTCATGCAGTGGGCCGGGCTCTTGGCAGAATGCTTCAGGCTTTATTTAGAGAAGGAAAATACCAGGCATTTACAGGCATCAGGACAGAAGTTATTGTCAGACAGCCTCCTGGGTTTAATTTTTGGAGTATTTGGGGTTTTGTTTGAATGCATATGCAGTGCATCATCCCGTCATACATTTCCCCTCCCTCAACCATATCTATCTGCCAATCACTGTCCAAGATGTCCTTTCAGCAACCCGAAGACATGGCATATACCTTATAGTGATGCTGCACAGAGTTGCTGCACACATGGAATAGGAGCTGAGGTGCATATTAGCCCAAAGTGTCTTGAAGTACAAACTGAAGGGACTGTGGGGCCACACAGAGTGACAGAATTCATCTACCTGGTGATACATTTAAAAGCTGGTGGTAGGAGAAATTCTGGTCCGTTATACAGCAACAGCTTCCGATAACTTCATGTTATTCCGGTTAAACCGAGTGTGTCTCTCTCTGAAGGAGAGGTCAACATTCTTTGACAATCTTTTTTTTTTTTCCTGCCTGAGGCCCCGTTTGAGGACAAAGGGTCACTGTCAAGAGGAAACCAGTTTGCAATTAACTCAGTTTATCTAAGTCTTTCTGTGCTGTCACAGAAGTCAAAGGATTCTAAAAACAATTACACTCAAAGCATGCCAGTAAACTATGAATGATTATGTGGAGTAAATATGCCATGCTGGGTCTTGACGACGGTGGAGGAGGAAAGAGATGACAAATGTTACCGTGTCCCACCAGTGAACACGGCTCATAATGGCAGAGTGAACGGCCTGTGCTTCACTGGCGATGGCCTCTACCTCCTCACCACGGGAACCGATGACCGGATGCGACTATGGAATAGTGCTACCGGGGAAAACACGCTGGTAAGATCTGTGTGAGAGATTAAATGCTTTGTCCCTTTTTTTTAACCTACCTGGATTAACACTTTGGATTATGTAGTTGCAGCCTGCAAGAACAGTTCAGGGTGTTGTCACCGGCAGCTTCTAAAATACAGGTTCAGTCCAGCTGTCTATCCTTTTGACACCTCTCTTTAATGTATAGTCGCACCTATCACTGGTTCAGGATGTAGCTACTTATCAGCAACGTCTCAGTTTAAAACTTAAATCCATAAAAGACGGTATACAAATGGAGTTCCACAAGGCCTTTGGTCCTCTTTTAATGCAGTTTATGCGTTTTACTTGGTTGATGTTTTATAGTAACAATAAGATGCTCTGATGATGCTCCGATAAGGTTCCTTTAGACCGAAAGCTCACATACAGTGTACTCTGCATAGATCTAAGTGTGCGCATATCTCTTTCATCAATAGAAACGCAAGATAAATTCCCACGATCGTGCAGAGGACATGCAACTCTGTTTATGGTGATGACATTATTAACTTAAAGCTGCATTCATTGTCTTTTGATCACAGGGTTGTTATGGTTACCATTTGTACGTCCTGCGCATGTGCAGGCCAGAAGACTAACTCGTCAGCTTCCTTCAAACACTACATGTGGAGTTTTGTTGTCATGTCAGATGGATTTACCTGCCGTCTCTGCAGCGAATACAGAATGCTGCTGCACAAGTTCTTACCAGGACAGGAGCCACCGTGTCCTTAACGCTAATGCACATCCCTCCAGTGGTTGCTCGACATGATTTACACCGTTTCTTATCATCTGTCACTCTCGAACATTTTAATTAAAGTCGAACTGGAGCTGTCTTCGTGCTGCAGCGAATTTGAGAGCAATTTCTGTAGAACAGTGTCTCAACACAAGCTGCTAATGGAGGGGGTGTTCAACTTTTTAACCAAACAATTTCTTGAATTTGGTTTAAAATTGGGAGGGTCACTTTTTTTTTTTTTTTACACTTTTCAAGGGCAACAGGAAATTATTGTTGGTAACAGTACTTTTATTTTTTTTAATTAACGGTTCGATATTCTCTGGTGGTATTACCATGTAAACAAGTGAAACAGAAATGAATGTTTGGTTAACAATCGCCAACCGCTAACCAGCAGTCTGCCACTGTTCACAGAGTGACTTTTAGGGACAGGGCCTTGAGCTAAATTGGTAAAAATATCTCATCAAAACACCCAGCACATCAGCTCATTCACCATACAGGCGCTTCAAAATGAAGCTCACAGATGATCCAAACTGCTGCTACATACCTCCATGTTTTCTGGGACTGCCTCTCTACATCTAATCTCTGGTCTATGGTGGCTAAGTGTCTGGAAAATGTCCTGGAATTTCCAATTCATAAACAGCCCACCTTATTTGTATTCAACCGTGACTCCGTCCTCAGTGATAATTCCAGGTTAGCCCTTCAGAAAACAAACACATTTGCTGGTTTAACTGCCGCCAAGAAGCCCATACATGGTTCTCTCCTGGTCCCCCATCGATGAGGGAGAGGCTGAATCATTTTAGGGATATTGCTCTCATAGAAAGATCATTAGCTGTAATTCATAAAGTGCGGGCATCCACTGTAGAGGCTTGGGACATCCTCATTGGCTCTCTTTCAAACCCACATTTTCTTACACAGATATAATGTGTCGCTTTGATGGAATGCAAGAAGACCTACACATTATTTTTGGTCCATAGGTTTTTTTATTAATTTGTTTTGTCTGTTGTTTTTTTTGCTTGTGGATTTAATTATCTATTCTCATTTATTTTGTTATTTTTCTTTGCAAAGCAATGGTGATGTGTATATAGTTTGTGTTAAATGCTGTTTGTATGTGCATTAATCTTCGTCTGTGGTATCTTGTGTACAACAATGTTTATGTGACAAACTCAATAAAAAGGTTGATAACAAAAATCAGTTACACCTGTAGAGATAAGCAGTTGTTCTGGTGTTGTGCACTAAATATAGTTTCAAACTGGAAAAACTTCATATTCCTCCAGGAAACCGCCTCACGCTGTTGGTAGTTTATATTTCGGCTTAGACACACACACACACACACACACACACATCGTCTGAACCTTGTGTGCCTTCACTGTTTGTCCCTCAGGTGAATTACGGGAAGGTGTCCAACGAGAGTCGTAAAAAGCTACAGTTCACAGTGTCGCGTGGCAGCAGCCCGGAGTTGGTGTTTGTGCCGTGCGAGAGCTCGGTGGCCGCGTACGCCCTCCACACGGGAGAGCTGGTCGCTATGCTCAGGGGTCACTACAACAACGTGGACTGCTGCGAGTTCCACCCGGACTACCAGGTGAGACGCATCCAAGTCCCCGGTGGCGACTATTCCCTGCATCTGGCCAATACACCCCCATCTATATCTGCACTGCTGCCTTTGTTTGCATCTCCGTCTATTTCTGTTTGCTCTGCCGGTCAGGTCTATAGCTGCTCTCTTGTGTGCGCTTTGAGAATTCAGGTCAGTTTTTCCCTCTGTCCTTTTGTATTTTATCTCTTCAACTGCTGCGGTGTTGTCACCAGAGTAAGGGCTATTAGAAATTTGCAAGCCTCCCCCCCGACAGATTACATGGTTATGTCAACATTACCTCGGCTATACTGAGCTCCTATAAATGCAAATACCGGGCATCCACTTTGTGCGACCCAAGTCCGTGCTCTCAGCCTGAACTTCGGCTGCGTTGTGTTCATAAGCCAAGTGGTGATGGTTTCACTGCACAAACAGAATGCCTGTGGCCTTTATCAGGTGTTAGTTCAGTTTCACTCTTATCTTTACATACAGTACTCTGCTTGTGCCTGTTGCTGCTTCAGGAATGAAGGATGACATTGTCAGTGGAACAAGGATGTGATGTTCAAAGTTGCTTTCATAAATGTATGTAATGTGTACATTAACACAAGCAACAAGAGGCTCGGCATTGCGAGATCTGATGAAATAAGTTAATCATAAAAATGATAAGATAAACAAAGATAAAGGCAATAAAAAAAAACAGTACACTGAATAATAGTACTGCATATCCAAATGACCACAAAAAGTACAAGAGATGTCAATATTAGGACATTGGCCACATATTGACACTATAACACTAATATCCGACTAAAACCAATATTTGTTTTCATTCTGGCTGAAATCAAGAGTCTCCCGATACATCTGTAAATCCCCATTGTGTTCATCTTCATCATATTCTTCTTACTCTGTAATCCAAACCGACGACATGAAGCTGTTGATAATCTTCCAAGTTTATCTAATTATATGCTTGTTCAGTTCTGTATTTCTACCCAAGTGTCCTAAAATATCAACCAAATATGGCAGTGCTTGAAGTTTCTATTTCTACTTAAGCGTCAGTGGTAATCCTTTTTTAAGTATCAGGCACAGCACATAATCATCACAAATGTAGAGGGACGTCCAACCACCGCCCTCCTTATTAGCTGATGTCAACATCCGGTGAATGTGTGACACAGGAATGCGGTTCGGCAGCTTGTCACTCTGCAGAGTTCCGGGAGATCTAGTCCCGAAAATGTGTCTCACTTCTATTGTGGGCCTCTTCTCTGATGTAGTGACTCCGATCAGTCACACGGCACACAGAGTGTGTGTCCCACGGTTTCTTCCTTTTACTTTACTCTCGGTGGCCATCGCGCTTGTCAACACTGGCGTTGCTGCTGTCATTGTTTGGAAGTGCTTTAAGGTGACGGTTATGCTGCAACGGCAGCGCCTCTTTTGTTTCCTGGAACAATTTGTCAACCAGTGTGTCAGAACCTGAGCTGTCCTTGTTCTGCGTTGTATGCAGGAGCTGTATAGTGGAGGTAAAGACTGTAATATCCTGGCGTGGATTCCTGCCCTTCGTGCCTCAGATGTGGAGGAAGAGTCAAAAAGTGCAAATCAGGTACAAGTCCCAATAACCGGAAAAGACATCAGGAATAATGGTGGAATCATTGTGAAACGCCACACACAAGTGTTTTATGTCATCATGTTGTTGATGACAATCTCAACAGGAGTGTCATTTTGTCTTCATGGGAGAAATGAGATCATAGATAAGCTGTCTCAGCACATACTGAGGACATCAGTCACCACTGCACAGCTCTGTCATGCTGTGTCTACACTCATAGTAGTTTACATCAAACTTGAACTAGTTTGTACATTCATCAGATAAACAGTAGTTGTCAAACCCGTGAGATCTGAGATGATGTTTTTGTAGTGGATCTTTTAGAGGACGAGTATCTTAATTCAGATAAAGTATTGAGGTGAATGTCTTGATTCCTTCCAGGCTGCTGCGGACCAGACTACAGTGAACACCGCCTTTCAGGACGCATGGAGCAGCGATGAAGATTAATGCTGGCGTTTTGTATGTGTGGACAAAGTGGTGTGACCATGCAAATGAGCACGCTTCCTTTCACCATGAACTTGTGAATAAGTGACCGGTTGATTATGGTCCTGGGACACCTGTGAGGATATTTATGGTTTTAATGGAAATGTCTCCTGTTTCGTCATAGCAGACAAAGATGAAGGCCCTAAAATGACAAGGAGTGTAAATAATTGTACGACTTTATATATGCACAATGTAATGAATAATGGGGTTTTTTTTGGTACATTTTATATTGCATTGTTTTCCTTTTTTTAAATTTAAATGTAAAGCCAACGTGGTCCTTGGTGTGCAGAGTAAGTTTGATAGTCTTCACGTGGGAGTAACCAGGCCTTCAGGAAACAGCCATTGTCTTGTTCTCATTTGCATATGTTTACAAGCTGTGCTTACTGAAACTAGAGTGATAGTGAAACCTTTCCCTCTGACCCACCCTCCTCATAGCTTTACATATTGCCTTGGTTACCATGAGGACACCTTGAACCCAAATTAGCTTTAATACCGACCCCTCCAAAAATAAAAAGCCACTTGTAATGAAAACACATCAACTTTGTTATCCTTTGTGATCGACCATGACTCCTTGCATCTCAGTCCAGGGATTTTAAATCATGAAAACACTACTTGTATCCAAGATACTATTTCTATCGCTATCATCACATAATGTGTCAGTCAGCTCTCTTTTCACCAAATTACCTGAAATGTGTTGATTGTACAAGTTTTGATCATGTATGTCTTCCAATAAACTGGGAATGCCACCATATGTCTGTCGCCTACCTTTGTAACCGTACTGGTTTTAGGGAGGTTGTGGTGAAAGCTGATGATCCCCTTATTGTGTGTACTGAAACCAATTAAACTGGATGTAATATGCTGTACTATTACAAAATGTCGACATAGCTTTCGATGAGGCATCACTCAAAAATGAACTAGAAACGTTAGTCCACGAGTCGGCCAATCAGAGAACGCGGGAGCGCAGGAGAGCAGGAGAGCAGGAGAGCAGACCACGCCCTCCGGATGCTCCCATAAGAAGAGAGCTCCCTGTGTCAGCGCGTGAACAGTGCAGGAGTCACACCTGTAGGGCAGCGGCAGGTGATCCGGGAGTTTGGATATATACAATTTGACAGACCACAAGGATATTCATCAGCTGGCAGCTGCAGCTCAATCTTTGTAAGTGATGTTTTTTTTCTTCCCTAACTGAATCCGAGTAGAGTGATGACACAACCCCACTGAAAATGATCCGATTAAAGTCTGACAACGCCGGTGCGTCGATGCCAAAGCGTGCCCGTGATTACTGAATCATTATTACAAATGTCGTGGTGGGTCGCACGGTAGCTGTCGGACCCGTTTTTCAATACTTTGCGTCACCTAGTCCTCGTCAACTAAGCCACTTGTTGAGATTTTGAAGCGATACTGGTGTTGAAATGTATCTGACATTGGCCAAGAATATATATTTTTAAATAATTTTGATGCGTTTTATTGGTGCACTAACTGAACATTAGTGTCTGGGCACGAGCCGTAAATTTAATAGCTTCTACACACAATGTAAACAACTTTAATGTGTATTTTATTTGGAGGTATGGGTGCTTAATGTTTTAATGTAATGACTTTCAGTGTTTTTATCCTGTACCTTCACCACATCAATAACTCCGCTTTAGTAATTGAATGATTTGGAATGCGACCAAAATCACCCAAACGTGGATTTAAAAAAAAAACTAACTTTTTTTTATCTTTTGTGAAATGTAGGAGTTGACGTTCAGACATTAAAGGTACACAAATAGGGTATGCCATGTGCGTAGCAGCCTTTACATACGGATCTCTATGACCTTAATTGGCGTGTCAATGCTTGTCATGTCTTAGTTGTTGTGGATAGCAAGCCTTTTTTCACGTTCACCCATTGACTTTAACCCTGTCCAAGTTCCCGTTGCATTCAGGTAGACGCACCCTGAAAACCAGTCATGTAGGGTAAAATGTGCACAGGTTGGCAGACGAGGAGTGATGTGTGTTTTTTTTATTTTTTTTTTTATTTTTTTTATAAATCAATTTCCGTCTATCACAAATGGCACAATGTTCTTCTAGAAACAAAAACATAATCCAACAGGTATGTTGAGTTGATGAGATTTTGTTTCGATTGCGGTTTGTCAAAGGGAAGCTCCTGAGATGATGAAATTACCTTCACAAGTTTTCCTTTCTTTCTTTCTTTCTTTCGTTTTTCCCCCCCAGACGTGTCTCAAAAACCAGTCAAGCCAGTTGTTTGGATCCTATAGCGACCCTGTAACTGTACCAGACACCACCCATGTCTGCTCACTGTCACACATGGGTGCCATTTAAACTCGTGAACCATTACTGTTTTGGTCAGGATGGCTTCAGCGCTGATGCTGGGGTCACTTCATCCCACTTGCCTTCAATTTTGAAAAATGTGCCAGTTTGAGCGTGGTGGCATTCTGACAGCATAGTGTGTAATTCTAAAGGCATTGGAGCTCCATTTTAAAAAAGTAATTTTACAATTTTCTTGTCTCATTAATGTACAGCTTCGCCAAATGTCCGCCTGCTGACTGTACTAACTGCTTTTAAAGCATTTCCCATAGAGAAACATAATGTCCTCATCTTGAAGACAGTCCAGGCAGCATAGTTTTGTGACGACACCATTTTATATACATTATCCATGCGTGCATGTTTCTGGAATAAATGCTAGTCGCACTGACTGAAACCAGACACTGACTGCTACTCATTGTACTCCCCTACACTCTTGGCTTTGTCTGCTTCAGATGCTCGAGAAGGGCAGCAAAGACTGGCTGAGTGGCTTTTTTTTTTTTTTTTCTCCCCTAAACAGTCCAGTCCTACAGCCATGGCACTACAAATGGTGATATTTCTTCTGCCACTATACCGAGCTGTTGAACACTGTTCAGATGATAAAATTCCATCGTGAAATGGAAAAACCGGTTGCATGTGGAGGAAACTGTGCTGTCGGTGCAGCAGTCTTACTTCCTGTTAGAAGTTCATGATGAAAGTGGAGGGCCTGTTGGGCCTTAGTAAGCTTGATGGCTCCTCGGTGTGAATTTGTTTTATATTAGGATTTTTAAATCAAAAAAATCCATTGAATGCAGTGTTTCTCTATTCTGTGTATTTAGCAGCTTTTGAGTGTGTCTGAACATTTAAGCATACACATTTTCTTTTTTTGACTTCCTAACATTTGTCTCTTGATCTTTTTAGGTAAATTGCAAGCATCTCGTCTGAACATGGAATTCGATAACATGAAGTCCTCCGCCGCACTCATTTATGACGAGTTCATCCAAAACGCAGGTAAATCTTTAAACGGAGATGCCTTCATGGTTGTGTTTCTGTTACTTAAATCCTCTGCGCCTGAACCTTGTTGATCTCTCAAACCTGTCGACGCTCTTGTGCTGCAGACAGACGGACGGCGAGCTGGTTCCTTATGTCGTCCCCTGTGCCCCAAGCCATCGTCATCGCAGCGTACATCTACTTTGTCCAGTCGCTGGGGCCTCGGCTGATGGAGAACCGCAAACCCTTCGACCTCAAAGGAGTCCTCGTAGTCTACAACTTCGGCGTGGTGGCTCTCTCGCTCTACATGTGCTATGAGGTGAGTCACGTTGTCTCTTGCTGCAGTTTGTTGACATGAAATGTGAGCTGCTGAAATCCTCATAGTAGTCAGTACTTCCTGCGTTGTTCGACTCATTGTTCAGACAGAAGTGACTATCTGTCATCAGTCTCATGCCAGCAGTCTTGTGTAACACTGTTGTTCATGGACGTTTGTTTTTTTTTTTTTTTTTTTTTTTAATCTTGAATTTGAGGTCAAACCAGATCTGCAGGTGTTTTTTCTTTTCATGCATTGTCTAGTGCACATGCTGCGTAACATCAACATTACACTTTATCGAGACATTCTTAATTTTATCAGTATCTCAACCACACTTTTTTTTTTTTTTTTTTTTTTTTTTTTTTTTTTTTGAATGAGTCATTTTATGTGAAATACTACCTCAACACGCTTTAATGTATTACAGTCAAAAGCAACATTTCTAGATTAAGTTTTTGAGACAAATTAAACTACAAAGTTTTTCAAGGTAAAAGTTATTCTGACTTTATTTTTCATAACCAGTTACTTGTTAGTAACCACACTGTTTGTTTTTTTCTCTTCAGTTTGTGATGTCAGGATGGGGAACCGGATACTCTTTCGGCTGTGACCCGGTCGACTTCTCTGATTCACCACAGGGTGTGAGGGTAAGCCAGGCTATAGCATTTGAATTTAGCACAGAACATGTAGTATAAGAGCTGTTTTTAAGAACCAGTGCTGAAATATTCTTTACCGTCTCCTCTAGATGGCGGCAACATGCTGGCTTTACTACTTCTCAAAGTTCATTGAGATGCTGGATACGGTGAGTGACTCGATCACTGTCGGGCATTTGGCACCGTCGGTTGACTACGTTTCCTTATGTATTGTGTTGAACTAGACTCTCTGTGTATTTATATTCAGATCTTCTTTGTGCTGAGGAAGAAGAATAGCCAGGTGACATTTCTTCATGTCTACCATCACTCAATCATGCCCTTCACCTGGTGGTTTGGCGTTCGTTTTTCTGCAGGTAGGAATCTTTATTTACATTTCTTTTTTTAAATGTTCAAGCTATAGTTTATGACCTTGCATTCATTTGACATTCTCCTTGATACACTCCCTATTTTCAGGTGGCATGGGGACATTTCACGCCCTGCTTAACTGTATCGTCCATGTCATCATGTACACCTACTACGGCCTGACTGCTTTGGGCCCCAAATATCAGAAGTACCTGTGGTGGAAGAAGCACCTGACTACCATTCAGCTGGTATGTTGTGTTTTTCTTTTTGTGTCGCTTGTGATTTCAAAGTGTTCATGTGTGACAGCAGAACTAAGGTTCTTTCCATGTCGCCCCCCCACCCCCAGATCCAGTTTGCGGTAGTGACCAGCCATATCTCCCAGTATTTCTTCCTGAAGGACTGCTCCTACCAGTTCCCCATCTTCGTCTACATCATCGGTTCGTACGGCCTGATTTTCTTGTTCCTCTTCCTCAACTTCTGGTACCACGCCTACACCAAGGGCAAGAGGCTGCCTAAAGTGCTGCAGAATCAGAAATGGGAACACCACAGCAATGGGCTTATGAATGGAAATGCCAGTCATGACAAAGAAGAGTGACGCAGGTCTCTGCTCGTCAGGGGGTGTCGGAGGGGGGTTGCCCTCGTTCATGTAAGCAAAATGCATCGGAGATTCCACTCCAATTAGTTTGGACTGTATTTTCTACTTGCAACTGCAAAAGACAATCTTTGCTTTTTGACCAAAGCTATATATATATATATAAGAGGTTTATTGACTCAAGCTGAAGGGTTTTATCTTGTTTGTTTACAATGAAGGTAAAGCCCAAGTTCTGCTATGGAAGTACCCTAATATCCCTCCGCTCTACTACAGTATGGTTTTAAAATATTTCAAAAAAACTCAACTCCACTAATCACACTGATGGGGTTTCACCTATGGTGAGACTGTGGGACCCACGGCTATACAGTCAAACTGGGCTTCTTCAAAAAAGCTTCCAATACTGAGATTTAACTTCTGTGACTTGATCTTACTTTTTTTTTTTTGTTGTTGTTTTAGGAAACCCAGTTAAAGGTTTTTAAAGTTGCGCACTGAAAAGTTTTGTTATTTCACCTGGCCAAAAAAAAGATTACTTTGACTATTCAGTTGATTCTTTTTTTTTTTTTTAAAAATGGTATTCAGGCTACACATGTCCTGTTCAGGTTGTCGTCAACGAATGGTTGAACATGGTTTTTTTTTTTTTTTTTTTTTTATAAAAACCTCTTAGGTTCTATGACATATGCACGCCCACTTCTCTATGGTTGAGTCACAACTGCTGCTGATGGTACAGGCATTCAGTGAAAAGAGCGATCTTTATACAGCAGAATCAATGTGTTCTCCAATGAAGCTATGATGTGACGGAGATGCCAGAGAGGAAGGCTGACCGACCTTTGGGTTCTTGTAGGATGCAGAGCTTGAGCTAGTTTTACTACGTCCTCCTGGCAAAATAACACTGTATTAAGTGCACTATATATATGTATGCACAATTACATGGATTCACTATTAGCCACCCAGAAAAGACATGAGCAGCCTTACTTGCCTGCTTTTTAAAAAAGAAAAAGGGGGGGGGGAAAAAAGGTTTTTGCTTCATCTGTTGAACTTCTGTGGCTAACGAGGTCTTCAGATGTCCGGAGTCGAGGAGAGCCTTTGGACTGAGGTCTGTGGAGTATGTTTATATCAGTTATGATGACCTTAATCTGAAAAGTGAATGTAACACTCTGCTCCTTTTTTTGGAGACTTTGGGGCACAGGATCGAGCTTGATGTGGAAAGAGTTCCACCTTTTTTTTTTTTTTTTTATTTTTTTTTTATTTTTATTTTTTTTAATAATTCAGGTGCAAATCCAAGTTTTTGTTTAATTTTTTATGGTTTTGTGTGTTGGGTTTGTTGTGTTTTTTTTTTTTTTTCAGATCCCTTGTTATACCAATAGTTATTAGGCTAAGAAATGATGTGAATTGAGTTGTTTATATTGTATTTTATATGTATTTATATGAAAATAAATGATCAATGTACTTGCAAAATGTCTCTTGAAATCCTTTTTAGTTTAGTAGGAAGTGTTTTTTATTTTTTGTCTAACTTCAAATAGTAGGAGCAACTCACTTGGACTAAGTAATTGCAAATAAATGATTAGCCGGCATAATATTGTAGAAACCTGATTTATAAATGGAACCTTGCAGCCAAGACTTGAGGCTTTTCACAAAGTGAGAATTGCTGATGCTGCAGTTTGAGAGATTTCAGCCGCTATCACTTAAGTTTGTAAAATTCCAAAGGGAAGTTGAGCTAGGGAATATCTTAATCTTTTTTGCACAATTTTAAATTTAACTATTTAATTGTGAACTTATGTGAGGGGAAAAATGCGCACTTAAAAAAAACATTTTTATGGCTTTTTACTTTTTTAAAGTGTGCTCGTTTGTAACATGCATTGTTCAGCAGCAGCGCCCTCTCCCCATCATGTAGATGATTTGCCAGAACCCCAGTGAATGGTAGTAAAATTACAACCCTCTATGCACAGCTAGCTAGCTAACTCACCACATGGCACATTTCACACTGGGCTAATCGACAAATGTGTGGTTAGTTTCCATCAGCACCGTAAATACAGCCTGCGCAGATTCCCACTATATTCCCGTTACTTCACATAAATTCATGTTAATCCCGTGGGAAAGTTTCCACCTTGAATAATCCCGAAAATGTGCAAATATAGAGTAAATGCTGGCTTCATGAAATTAATATTTTCATTGAAGTGATGCTTTGACCAGACTGTAATGAGCTATTCTCACCAGTAGGAGCTGCTGTTAAACTGAGACTATAGAGCTGGTGTGTATTAAAGTCTGATGGATCACCACACATACCTATAGCTAAAAAATAATTTCACATTCATGGAAAAGCATGGCATCGCTGGTACAAGTCATCTGGTTGAATGTGTTATTGAGCAATTCATTTTTATCCCAAGTTAAACAATGCAAACTAATTAAATGAAAATCCCGCAGGACAATCGATGAGCCCGAGCATAAAGCCAAAGCTGTAGGGATGGCTTGACAACATGCTGACATCCCTGAGGGTCCAGATCTCAGTTCAATTGATAAATTGGGACTGGACTTGGAAAAAGGCTTTTTGCTCACTACGTCAATGCAACCAGTCAAAGCTTGAGCAGTTGTTACCGAGACGAATGGGGAGAATCGTAGTGTCCAAATATTAAAAGGTTATTAGAGACCTTTCCACACAGACTCAACTGCGGCCAAAGGTGCATCCACTAAATACTGGCTTTATAATTGGATAATAATTATGCAAACAAGTATTTTGAATTCTACACTTGAAGTGAATTTCGATCATTTTGCTTCTGTTTTCGCTTTTTCTGTCTATAAAAAAAAAAAATATCACACAAAATGTACTGAGTTAGTGTAAGAGAAACATGAAAACCTCCAAGTGGGGTGAATATATTTTATAGGCACTGCATATCTATATCATTTTCCAATTTTGCATCCATGTATTTTAGATATTTTTACATGTAGGGAAAAGCTCTTATTCTGTCTAACACGCTTCCTCCTCTCCATCACATCGCACCCAAGAAACAGGAGAGCACGCTGACATATCTATTTGTACGTCCTTCTGCACTTAAGTGGTACATAATGACACCGCCACCAAACAACATCCCCCCCGATGCTTTTCATTAAATGACACTCGGCTGCGTGATGGAAAATAAGAGAGAGAGAGCTGTAAATACACACAGGGGAGCTGACGTCAGTCTAAACTAAAGCTGCAAATTATGGAAGTCATTTAAAGTCTGCTGTGCTTTTCCATGAAAAATACACAGTGGTATACGACCGGTTGAACGGAGAGATGAGAGCAGGCAGCGGGACAGCCCAACCCGTGGAGGGCATGGATGATCACTATTTGCCTTGCACCGAAACATTTTCCTCCAATTGGCTCAATGAAGAGCACCCGAAGTGGCACCATGACAATCTGAGTAATTGGCAACATCTGCCATCCCTTTATCATGAGTTAGAGGCTTGTTCTGGAAGGAAAATGACCTCCGATACGTCCAGTTACATCTCCATCTGCAAGCTAGTTCCCTTCATTAATGACAGAGACATTTTTCTCAGTTTGGTCTCATAGTAGAAATATTTAATCTGCGCAGCGACCTTTTTTCTGCATTCTGATCTGTTTGACACTGAAATGGCCCATTGACGGTGGTGTTTAGAGTGAAGTTTAGTTTGATCTCTACAGCATCTCATCCATATTGGGCACCCAGAAACCATTTGCAAAAGTATGTAAGTATGCAATACAAAATGAAATTGGTTAAATGAAGACATTTTTGAATGTTATCAAAGGTCTCGGTTTCCTACTCTGGGCTACCACATGAACAAAGAATTGTGGTCATGTTTTTGTTTTTCCCACTGGTTTGAAGTAGCATCCAGCAGATATGGAGCACATCATCATTCACATGGAGACGTGACTCTAGCGACCTGATACACAAGCCTCTCTCCCTCTATCTGTCTCTTGAGATGCTAACTGCTCCGCTGTGTTCGCCCGCTAGTTCTTAACTTTGTCTGTGTTTTGTTTGGTGCTGGGCAGCTATGAAGTGAAAGAGGCTGAAAGACTCTGGAGCTCTGAGAGGAACTCGAATCATCTGTGGGTTCAGAGCTTTGCAGCAGTCACGCAAGTTGTCACGGCGTCCATTGTTACTATAAAACAATATGGATTATGTCTGCTTTATTGATGTAGAGAAACCCTTGACACCAAGTGTGCAGGGTCTATAAGGGGGACTCTCCATGCAGGGTGCCACAGTTGTCACACTTTGCCACAATCAAAGGTGACAACATGAACTGAAACGTGGTGCTATATCTCCCTCAGTGATGACTGTCAGGACGAGTCATGAGGCTGTTTGTAATGGCAGAGTCACAGCAGACAGCTGTCGGTAATTGCTTTTCTTTGTAGTCACTGTAATTCTGTAGTCACTTCCAGCGGCACCATCGTTAGAGCACGTCTGTTTTCTTAACATGACTTGTCTGTCGTGCCTCGTGACAACAGTTTGGGAAAAGCACGTCCATGTGTCACCTGATCGTTGTATCTTGTAGAGGGGTGATGGCACCTTTGGAAACTTTATGATGAGGGGCGATAGCGAGTGCTCGCATGTGGGAGAGAACAGAGGGTGCTGGAGGGGGAGAGACACCACCAAAAAAAGATGAGGTGTGTGTGTGTGTGTGTGTGTGTGTGTGCTGCTGAGTCTGTCAGTGAGTGTCTCTGAGAATCGTTCTTGGTATTTTAGATAGTTGCGGGTACTTGGATGCCCTAATGACAACCTAATCCTCCTCTGTCCCTTCCTCAGTCTTTTAAGATCTTTTTCCGGATAAACAAAACAAAACAATAATAAATATGACTTGGCTTGTTATAATTTTAAATAACAGAGACCACACTTTGCTCTCAACAGAATCTGCTTTCATTTGTTGAGGTCAGTCGCCACAAACAGAACACCTATCATGTTGTGTTGTCTCTTTAAAGTCAGACAGGGCTGCATAATCTGGTAGTTTAGATGTCAGACTGGTCTTGAGGCAGAACACATCTAGATTTCAGTGTCAGGACAACGTGATAGTGAACAACAATTGTTTTTTGATTATCAGAGAACAATGAAAGAAGCCCATTATGATTTTTTTTTGGTGCAAATATTTACATTCGAGAACATTAAAGCATTTTTTTTAACGAACAATTGCATTTGGTTTCGGATTCAGCTCTTCACGCTTCCCTGTGCACCTGCACGTTTGCACCTCTACAAGCATGTTTTCAACTGTGTGTTTGTCCCTTTGGGCCTCTTCACTGAGTCCCCACACCTCCCTTCTCCAAGAACATCTCTCCCCCCTCCGCCGTGGTAACTGTCAACAGCTTTTGCAGTGACTCTGGGTGCACAGCAGTGGAACAAATGCGCTGTGTTTGGACTGTTTCCCAGGTACTTATCTACCGCGCTGCAGTATATCATTTTGTCCCAAAGCCGACTTATTGATCGGCGTCTTGTCTTACAATAAGTTCTCAGAGTGGTGTGTGTGTGTGTGTGTGTGTGTGTGTGTCAGTGTCAGCTGCTGCCTCTGCGGCTGTGAGCTGTCGCCTCTGTTTAGGGTCAAGCGGCAAAGAAGGACTATTCATGTGGTCTGCGATCCGATTTCTCCGTGTGTTCAAGTACATTTCCAGCCTCGCATCCTTCAGGGTTTTACAGATTAAACTATTCCCCCTTTTGCTCGGACAAATCACAGATGTAAATTTGTATTCATCTTCCCGCTGTTTACTCAGCGTATGATGCTATGATGCAACAGTACGAAAGAGGAACAAGGCGTACGCACTTTGGCATTAGCATAACCCTTCCACTCCTGTGAGTATGATGAGCCTGGGGGTCAGACAGCTCAGTACTGTAGCAGTCTTGCTCGTTTGCTTTGCTGAATCCCAGGCTGCGTGCCGATTCGCCTGGCTGTTCCCCGAAGGCCCGCCTACTCTGCTGCCTGTATTTCTGTCTGCCTGTCTCGCTTCTTTCTCGCTTGTCTCCCCGTCATAAAACTGAATTTAGATATTCCTGGCACACTTATA